TTTTTGGTTGTGTAACCGTTGTATAGTATTATTTACCCGCCGTATACAATTTTCGGCTTTCTATAAGATATGCTGTATAGCATTTCTCATAACCTTTATAAAATAAATTTTGCTAGTTGGGTAAACACTTAGTATTTCATTTGGGAATCAACCTTGCATGTTTACAATGTATTTTTTATGGCAATAATTCCATGGCCGTGTACATTGTGACTATGCAAGACAATATACGAACGAATTTGGTTTCAGCAAAGAACTCGGGAGAAGTAATAGCTTCTTTAAAAGATAAAGGTTCACCTATACAAGGTGGTGACTTGCGTAACGCATCATAGAGATTTCAATGTAAAATTCATAACGTGCGATTATTGGCTCCCCAAATTATTTTAGAGCAAAAATGTATTAAGGTTTTTTGTAGAAAAAAAATTGTTACGCCAATCAACCGTATTAGTTTTCAATTTTTTGCATACTAAAGACGGAACATTGGAAAAATAAACCCCCATCTTTTTCAAGAATCTGCGATGCCTTGGAATTTTCTAAAACAAAAAGATATCCAGGTATCAATTAGCAGCAGTTCGAAATGGATTTTATGATCGACTTAGTTACTGTCTTGCAGTTAATGGTGACTTATTCCAACATTTATTGTAAATTGTTATATTAGGAAACCGCTTTTAGTAATTTGGTCTTTCTTTATGTTGAATTCGCTGTTCTAAATATAATACTTTTTGATAGAATTTGGTTTATTTTATAGCAGACATTCCATGGCATGACGGATATTGGCGTAGTTTTTTTATTATAAAATTCCATGGCATCACAGATTATTAAAAAAGATGGGGGTTTATTTTTCCAATTTTCCGTCTTTAGTATGCAAAAAATTGAAAACTAATACGATTGATTGGCGTAAAAAAATTGTTTTCTACAAAAAACCTTAATACATTTTTGCTCTAAAATAATTTGGGGAGCCAATAATCCCATGTTATAAATTTTACATTGAAATCCCTATGATGCGTTACGCAAGTCACCACCCTGTATAAAGATATCGTATGAAATCAGGAAATGATGTAGGCTTACATGTCCTTTTGGAGTATCGGGTCTCACCGGGCTCGGGCTGAGAGTTGTCTTCTGGCTCAGGCTCAGGATTATCTTTTTCCGAGCTTGGTTGGTACGAACTTGGAGATTCAAATTGATCGTCACTGAAGTCATCATCTTCATTTTCTTCACTGGATGATTGGGAAATTTCAGAACGTCCTGTCTGGTCTTGACTTGAAGTTGAGTGCTGCTTATCCTCAGTAGAGTGTACGGTGTTTTCCTATTTTGTTGCAAAATTGGAAGGAAACGATATCTAAGGAATTATCATTAGGAATGGTTTGACAACAGGAGAGGGTTGAATCATCTCTTGTTCCAGGAATTTTACACTACAAGCCGTTATAAGTTGCCGGGTCAAAGAGCCTGTAGGATTTAGAATGCTCATACCCGATAAAATAGTATTTTACATTATTAGCCAGGTAAGTGAGTTTTTACTGGCGATAGGAGAAGTTGACTGGCGAGCCGTTAGGAGAGAGATGGAACGGGCCCATAAGGCCTGTATGCGGTAGGTCAAGGACATTCGTGGCTAATGCTTTTCATCTTGCCTGGTACCTACGTTGTTCTGTGGTTGTTTTGTCTGAATCAGGACATCCTTGCATTGAAAACCATAATCCATCTAAGGTTAAAATCTCGGTTAAAATGTTCTTACTAACTTCCAGTCTTGGTAGATTTGTGGAATTATCACTCATTTTTAATTTTTAAATAAATAAGAGAAACAGAAAAATCACATCACAAAGCGGGAATGATTAGAGAGGTTAGAACACTATAACACACCATCACTTTTTTACATTTGAGTACTTGTACTTTTTTAATTATTATTACTGGGCACATGTTAGTGTTAGTATCATTACAAAGGTTAAAAACCGATAAATTCAAAATATATTTTTCTATTTCGGTGTCACAATGATGATTTTGTACAACTGTTTTCAGCCGAAAACAGTTGTACAAAGACAGTGATTATAGTCGTTTTTTTTGGTAACTCATCTTTTAAGTTGGCAGTTACTAGTTAGTACAAGTAGGTACTTCGTTGGGTACGTCCATGTTTGAACTTCAAAATGTCAGTCTTACTACGCTGCCAACCTAAAACTTAACGGCATAAAAAGTGTTCCCAACATAAAACATGTTAGTTCTAATGTTCCCTATAGTTTCTGATAATGATTTTTTTAATTAAATTAAAGCACCGAAATAGAAAAAATAGTATGAAAAACGCGTGTTACAATGCTTTATTGTAATACTCCTATCTTGCGGACACTCGTGGCTACGCTTCGCGTCGCCACTCGTGCCACAAGATAGTCGTATTACAATAGGTCGCATTGTAACACTTGTCTTTCAATATACTATTCCAACAGATCTTACTCGCGCTGAAGTTTGACATCTTACTCACAAGTCACAAGATTTAATATATTCATAACTAAAGCTTTTTCAGAAGAAAATATCAACATCCGTCTTTTAGGATGATTGTGATTGTGACGACGGCTTGAGTTTTCCCAGAAAACGAATATTAATGTTGTCTACGTCAAAGAAAGACGTGGGCGTATTAGACAGGAGGGCTTTCAAACAGTTAAAATTGTATAATAAAAGCATTTACGGTAAAGACGCACCTTCTTTGAATATGCAAGCGCCCTGGATCATAGTAATATACACATAAAAATCTCTCATCATGCTTGCCCCGCGGACTCTGCGTTTTGCTATAGATCGAATGTTTCTGATATAATGATTTGGTATGTTACAGGTTTGTTCCAAATTGAACAAAGGTATGTGTCAAGGAAATGTAATGTACAGGGTGCAGCATTTAAGATCCCTCGGATCATAAGAAACCCGTCTTGTAGAAAATATAAATTTTATTCTTTAAAGCGCTAGTAAAAATGTATGTAGGTAACAATTAATTTTTTTGTAATGATTATTACCACGGTTAGCTCAGTAATGAGTAAATTTTCAATGACTCTTACCTTGCGGAAAGTTGATTCTTTATCACCACGTACGAGTATAATTTGAAAATTAAAACCTGATGTTTGGGTTTGATCACTTTCAAATAAATAGCCATAAATTGACTTGTTTGAATATATTGTTGACTTTAAACATAAGTCTTATACAAAATCCCCAAAAATCGACTACCTACGGTTACAGAATGCAAATAATTTATCGATGAGTGAACATTTTCTCTAGTCCGACAGTTGATTTGCGCCTTTGGAAAGGTAGCAGCAATTTGGAAAATTGGATGGTGGAACGCCTTGTACAGTACAATCGGACCTTTTGTATCGCCAAGTAAAAATTTGGTTACTCGTTGAAAGTGGCGCTCGAAAGATGTCTAAGTTTCCCGTAATTTATTAGTCGAAATTTGGGTTATTTACTGGAATACTGGAATGTTCCGCAATGTGGATTTGTCCAAAATAACCCTTATAACTTAGGGTTTTCACAATCAACAAAAGTACGAATTAATTGTCGTTAACCATTTTACCGCTTACCGTTTAATGTAGAACTTGTAACGCCCCGTATACACAAGAGAGGTGCACAGGTTTGATTGACAAACTTGTTTTTTAATCGTCTAACCGCTCTAAATATATCCGCATTGAACGGACCCCAACGCTTTCCTGGTAACAATTTATTTAAACGCGAGCACGTTAATCCGATAATGCAATGACCCGCAAATGTTAACGTATATGATAAGAATGTAACTTTTCGCACTGTATTTTCAATTGAACATAAATTCGCCGTCAATTAGTTTTCACTACAGGACGAAGTACCCTGTTATTATTGGTTTTGCTCGACAGGGCAGCTCACACTGCATTGTTAGTCACGACGATAACTGCGTCGAAAATGGTGGCACAATTTTCGGTAGGGCGGCTAATGATTCTTTTATGTACTTTTAATTAGTAATGAAATTTCAAAATCTCAAAAATAGCCTGCACAACTCACACGATTAGCCTTAAAAGGTTGGCGAAAAATTTTGTGTTACGCGATCGATAAATTTCCGAACTTACGTTACGTAGGTTTGGATCGGAGATTTGGCTACGAATTCAATTTTGAAAAATGCAGCGTTTGACCTACATAGATTCACGAAAGTTTGACTAATAATTCCTTCCTCCCACCCAATTTTTACTTATATTCACTCACTCACTCTCTTTTTTATACATGTGAAGGTACAGCAGAAACACCATCTGTCATTTCCCGTCACGACGATTTTTAGAATAGGCAACACTGTAGCGTTTCGATACTTATCTGCTTGAACACTCGTTTCTTATCTTAACCCTCTTTATAAAATTTCCTATATCGGAAAATGCTAAATAGTATATTATGTATCAAGTTCTATAAACGACCCTTTAGACACGAGTTGATGTTAAACATGTCCATAAGGGCTATTAAAATCTAAAAAACAAATTTGAAAGTGCACTCTTCGCCGCTTGTGCGGCGTAACGAATTTTTCGTCAGTTGAATACCTCGCACACGAACGAAAATAAAAATACCAAAACCAAAGCAACAATATTCAAATTAATTAATATGACAGCCAGATTTTTATTGGTTTTAAGAAGTTATTTTGGATACATAAAATCAGGCGCCCTTCAGAAGAAATTTTTATCTTTTAAAAGTAGACAATACACGTAAATCCATATGGCTACTTCTTAATAAATATGGCTGTAGAGTAATTTAATATTGGAGATTTATTTCATATCGCATACTTCGATCAATGATAAATTTGATGATCACGGTTTTTGCTTTAACTGTGCCTTATATGTCGGAACTAAAGAACAATATTGTAAGATGTTGAAGATTAACTTTCGCTAACTATGTAGACAGTGTCCTCGTTTATCAGCATGCGAACGTTTAGAGCATTTCACCTGTAAATGTACAATGTGAATTATTTGATAACAAATTGTTTAAACAACAATTGACTCTCATTTTTTGTTTCAGACATTCTGCGTAGTATCCAAGCGATTTCGTAAAAACTACATTCATCGTTTCACCGCAACCAATTCGTTTTTTGTCTTCAGTCCGTGGAATCCTATTCGAAAAGCGTGTATATACATATCAACAAATCAATATTTTGATTACCTTGTTATGGCCACCATTTTGCTCAATTGTGTCTTCCTAGCCATGACAGAAACCATCGAAGAGGCTGAGTGAGTACATTTTTTTTCTTATTAATTCTATGCTGAAATCAATGTTTCTTGACAGTATTGGATCAGATTTGTCTACTATCAATTCAGGGCTCGCGTTTTGGCGTACGTTACATGTTACCCTTACATATTTGCGCTAAATGAAAAAGGTTTGCATAATCACTATCTTGGTCAGTATATAACGGGTGGTGCACGGTAACTTATGCACCACCCGGTATGTAGACTTCCATATTCACAAACGTCATTCAGGGACTAGCAACACAGTTCTATTCTTAATTAGATGAGAACGGTACTTAGTACTCACCTTATCTACATATCTACCAGGACAGTTTAATAAGTCAGTGACATATCGCATTTCTAGCGCAGTAACTTTAAATTCAGCACTGCTCTCGTCAACTGCCATCTATTAATAGACTCCCGTTTTAGCACTATCAGAAAGGTGAGAAAAAAAGAAATGTGACGCGTCGTCTTCAACCAAAAACGTCCTAAAACATTTTAACGTACTACGTACATAGGGGGCGCTGGCGTGCCTTGAAGTATTAGCAACCTATTTTTAGACAAAAGGTTGTTTTGTTACCCAATAAATGAAGTTATACATCACTGGATGGCAGCACGTGTACAAGTATTTACGTAGCCAGTTTTACGCAGCACAATTTGTAATCTCACGGCCGTCTTACGCAGCACAACTTTTAAAGTATACTACTCTATGACAAGATATAGTACATTTCGTCAGTAAACTATAGTCCATATGCGCAGCAATGTAACATAAATTATTAAATCGTAAATGAAACGTCATTTATAACGCGACCGATAGTTGTATTTAATAATATGCACCTGAAATGCAATGTAAAAACCCGTTCCCTACGAGTGAAAGTTTCTCAAAACCAGCCGTACGGAGTCAGCGGTTCTCAATACAACATCCGTTGCGCTATAAATGACATTTGATTTAAGACTTATAATATATATTGGTCAGCATATGGTGTAGGTACCTTTCTCAATATTTATACCTGGAAGCATAAATAATAAAAAATACACGTTTTGAAGCACCACGAAGCCGAATCAAACAAAATCTGGATTATCTCTATCTGTCTGTCTGTCGGTAGTCTCATTTTCAGGTAAACGACTGAACCGATTGGAACCAAATTTGGTACATATATGTTTAGACATACCTAAAAGAAAGAGCAGAAAAGCTTTTGGGTAGAATCACGCATGTGCAGATATGCCGGTAGTATAGGTAAATGCTGCGATAAGTTTGCCTTTACTAGAAGCACATGTGGTTAAAATTTCAAAAAAATAGCCGATTAAGAAAGATGATATCGCTCAGCTTCCGCATGACACATTTAATGTTTACTATACGCCTTGTTTTTCTTTACTAATTTCAAAGAAATGACTATAAAGTTGGCACATTGCGCAGTATGCGTATGCGCACATCTGGTTTTTACCATATATGCGATATGTCGCCAAGCGGAAAACATATTTTTGGTAACGATTCTACTAGTTGTGTGTCCATTGGTAATAATGCATGCGAATATCTTAATAAATCAACAGTTGTCTTCTGTACGCGCAGACCATGCGCATATTATGTTTTAAATGTAGGTACCAGGTTAGTAGGTATTGTTTCTAACAAGAAAAGAGATATAAAGGATGATGAATAATAATACCTACATAACTGGTTTTAACTTTACCAGCCGCTGGTCAGGCGCAGGAGCAAGAAATTGGTATAAATTTTCTGGGTTCTTGGTTGTTACTATACCCTAAGCTACCGAATGCAAACAGAACGAACTAAATATCTTGAAAACTGTAAGAGTAGATGCAGCTTCGAGTGGACGGACGGAGAAAGTGCCAATAATAGCGCCTTCCAACATGTATTGGAAAATGCGCTAGAACTGCCCTCTGCCATATTCGCTATGCGCACCACTTTTTTGTAAGACGAACATTTGGTGCAATATGTTTAGGTTATTTCAACGATGAAGTGCGCATAATTTTTTTTAAAGTCACACGAAGAAACTGTCCGCAATTGCAGTTCCAAATATAAAATTTTGTGGGGACCAGACTTTTCACACGCCCGTTTAAGGATGCATCTTTGGAAATACAAAATTAGAAAGAATACATCCAAAATCCCAGATAGTCTTACTTGTTGTGTTCATAAGAAGAAAATGTAACTAGAAACGCAAATTTGGTACCGTTCGGAGGTGTAGCTCCAAGACATACATTAAAAAATCTATGTCCACAGCGACACATTTTATCTGCGTCGTGCAAGTACTGGTTGCAATTTAAAAAATGTTCCTTTTTTTAATTAAAAACTTGTTTCCAGCCCCACCCCCATTCACCACCCTTAATCAAGTTCTTAGGGGATTGACATTTTATCTGTGGCATTATTAAGAGGTAAAAAACATAAGTGTTTTATGAGATCCGATTATCGCTATTGTGGTACATATCAGAGCCCCATTCTAGCCTCAATATTAGACCAAAAAATCCGATACAACTGAATACCGAACGATTCTCGAGATCTTCGCGCATGCATCTTTTTTACAACGCAGGGATTGATTCTGTTCCACCAGATCAGCATAGCTTGTAAAACAAATTTTTGTAGCATTACTTTTACTTTTATACGAGGTGGGAGGTGCATATACATACAAAATTTCATTTAAATATAACAAATAAAAAAATTGGGATTGCTCAAATACAAAAGTTGGGTTGCACATGCGCAATTTTTTAAAAATTCATCTACTAACACAGAAAACCGGATATTCATATGTTCTTTGTAACAAGAATTATAACAGAACCCTTTTTTGTAGGTTTGGGCAGTTTTGGGGTTGTAACTTTTTGACCCGTTAGTCTACATAGCCGAAAAACAATAGGGACCTTTCTTATATCCTGAAGAACATATGTGTGTCTATTTTGAAAGCGATCGGACGTTTCTACACAAAGTTATCGTGCACAGGGACAGACATGTTGTGTCTTTACACGAGGTGTGACCGGACCATTGACTATACACAATTCGTTAATTAGTCTTTATTGAACACAACATAACAAGAGACATTGAACGACCTTTTTGTGACACCTTTCTCTAAACTCTATATTACCAACTTAACTTACTAAACTTAACCCAATACATAACACTCTTCCCCCTTTACAAATCAAGCCTAGAGGGCGCCTTTATGGTTCTTTGTGAACGTCTGAGTACCTGAGGCGTTATAGAAACTGGAGCAGGACTTTTAGGTGCTTGGTCAGGATTTGGACTATCAGGTAAAGAAACACTTGAGTCTTCAATCACTTCTTCCTGAACATTCTCATCCGGAGCCTTCTCAACGCTGACCGAAGGACTGGGGTTACTCCCTTGTATGTACGGTCTTACAATTGGATTTGTCTCTTCTTCTAATATGGACATCTTTAGGTAATCGGCATGAAGATATCGTACCTGATTATTCACCATTACTAAATATGTAACTGGACTGACGACCTTTGCAATTTTTCCAGGAATCCACCTGTTGACACGAGTATCAAAGGTAAGTACTTTTTGGCCTTCATAGAATCTTCTCATTATTCCTCTTTTACTATCCTGGTATATTTTCACTTTTCCATCGATTTTATCTTCTCTTCTCTTCCCTCTTAAAAATGTTGGTTTTAGTAAGGAGAGTTTTGTTCTGGGTTGGCGTTTTAATACTAAATTCGCCGGACAAACTCCTGTGACTGAGTTGGGTGTATTGCGAAAAGAAAACAAGTATTCATCGATCTGTTCCTGTAAAGTCATGGTAATCTTCTGTTTTTCATTATCCTTTAATTGCTTCAATAAGCCTCTCTTGATGGTATCCACATACTTTTCCGCTTTGCCATTTGAGCAAGGATGAACTGGTGGAGTCAAGGATACTTTTGTGCCTATTGAAAGTGCAAACTTCTTGTATTCCTCCCCATTAAATGGAGGTCCGTTGTCTGATACTATCTCTTCTGGAATTCCGAACGTAGCAAATATGTGTTTTAGCGCTTGAATAGTTTTAGACGAATTTGTTCCATGCATTATCTGTATCTCGATCCATCGACTGTAGCTATCTACTACTATCAAGAATTTCTTGTCAAATTTTTCCAAGAAGTCAATGTGTATTCTCTCCCAAACTCGCTCGGTTTTTGACCATGGTGTATACGGTACTGGAACTGCTTTGGGTTGTAAGGATTGACAATTTTCGCAAGAGTTAATACAATTCTCCAGATCTTGATTTAGATTAGGCCACCAAACTTCACCACGTGCTAACATTTTTGCTCGAACTATCCCTATATGCTTATCGTGTAGCAATTTCAAGACTGAATCCCGCAGTTGGAATGGAATGACAACTCTATTCCCCCAGAGTAAACAATTATTTTCAACTGTTAATTCACTTCTTCGGATGTAATATGGTTTCAGATTACTTTCGTTAATCTTGTTGGGCCAACCTTTTTGTGTATATTCTATCACTTTAGAAAGTGTTTGGTCTTGCTTGGTGCATTCTACTATCTCAAGTGCTGTCAACGGTAGCACATAATAATCAGAAAAAGAATACGCTTTTTCTTCCGTCGATTCTTCAAGTGGAAGTCGTGACATGGCATCAGCGTTTGCCATATCTTGTCCTTTCCGGTATTTGATTTCATACTGGTAAGCTTGTAGGATCAACGCCCATCGTTGTAATCTCGCAGCAGACAGAGTAGGTATTTTATTTTTCGCTCCCAGGATTGTTTTCAACGGTAAGTGATCGGTGATCAGCGTAAAAGGCCTATTGTAGATAAATTTATGAAACTTCTTAATTGAAAATATGATTGCCAGTGCTTCTCGCTCAAGCTGTGAGTATCTACGCTGAGTTTCCGTCATTGTGCCAGATACAAACATAATTGGTCTTTCCTCGCCGTTCACTATGTGACTAAGCACACCGCCAACTCCGTATTGGGACGCATCGGCAGCCATAACTAAAGGTAAATCAGGTGAGTATGCAATTAAAGCTTTACTGTTTAGCAATAACTGCTTGCTCTTCTCA